ATAATGAACGTTGTACGCTTTTAATTTCAAATAATTTAGAAACATGCGATAAGTCCTTTAAAGATTTTTTAAAGGCCGTAAAGAGACAAGATTTGTCTAGATTGATTTGAATTATAGAAAATATTCAGAGAGAATGGGGGGGGGGGGACGGATTTATTGTCGATTCATGGCAAGTGAATCTTATAATAAGTCAAGTCTAAAAGTAACATTGCTCCAATGCAAAGTACAAGTAATTAAATTCTGAAAAGCAGATTAAGATGACAGTCAAGTGAAGAACTTTTACTTTTGTATACTAGTATTGTGGAAATCGACCGTTTATGAAATTTCAAAGTCATATAAACAAGCATGAGTCAGTCGTTTTGTATCCCCAGCTTGAGTATCTCTTCAAGAAAAGTCTAATGAGACAGTGGGAGCAGATATTAAAGATGCAATAACGTTGTCAAACGTCATAAAATAAATAGCCAAAGCTCCAGCTAACCGTGACATGTTCTTTGTATTTGATGATAAATCTGCAAAAAATCGATCGTGCTAAAATCATTTTGGGAATTTCCTACAAGGAGCAAGTCGAATGCACCCTTACAGTCTTTTTTTAGGAAGTTTTGGCATCACACAAGGAAAGGAAACGATAACTCTTTTTCCGGAATAATTGTGCAATACTAACAAGTATGATGAACAAATTGTTATATTGATTGTATGTTGTTTTACGCTTGTTCTAAATTTTTTTACTCATATAGAGATGTCACAATATACCGGTGAAGGACTTCATATTTAGACCTTTTCTCGGCACTCAGGGCCATTAAGCAATGAGAGTTCTTCATCGTACCAATCCCTTCTGTGACACATGGCCTCAGTTTTTAAGGCCTCATCCCATGGACCCGCAACTTTCACTTCAAAGTGCCGAAAGCTTCGCAAAGGAACAGTTGCTACCAATTTTTTATCGACTTTGGTCAGTCGCGGATGTGATTCGAACACACGACTTTCAGATCACGGAACGAGTGCTCTACCGACTGATGAGCTACTGTGACGGCAACAAACTGTTATTAACCCTGTTTAATTTTTTTTTGTTTGTTCAATTTCCTTTTAATTGGGCTCGCCCTTTTTTTCCGGGAACGAAATGAAAATAATAATGTACTACACAAAGCTGAAGGTGCTTTTTTGAGGTAGGACTGGTTGCGGTAGCCTAATGGTAGGGAGCCTGTCTCGTGAGCTTGTCTTGTTAGGAACGGGGTTTAATTATCGTTCCCGGTACCGCATCAAACCAAGGACGTAACATAGGTAACTGTCTGTTTCTTCTCCAAGGATTCCACGCGTACGTTATTTGAAAATTGTTTTCCTATGTTTTCCAATCTAAAATTTTGATCCCCCTTACCCTGGGGTCCAGAATTTGAAAAATTTAAAATCTACACTAAGAAGCTTAATTTACGTAAATTTCATCTTTTGAGGCTCAGTTGTTTTTGAGAAGAAAATTTTTAATGACCCCACCCTGTCTTTTAAAATTTGTCTTTTTAGTATAAACTCCATTTGCCTTTCAGTTTTGAATCCCCTTTACCCAAGGATGCTTTATGCCAGTCTTGGATAAAATTGGTCAAGTGGTTCTCAGAAATAAATAATGTTAAACGTTTACAGATCATTATTCTGTCCTTAGTCTGGTAACTTGAACACACAACCTTACCGCCCCTATTCAAAATTTCAACATACCCACCAAGGGCTAGGTCATGATTCTTCCCTCCTTGTACATTTATGAAGCACTTGGCTATAAGGCGCTGTCTTTGTTCGCTGTCCAACATATCTTTTGTCAGAGCAGTAAGATGAACAGTCAAAAATTTGATTTTGCCCGTCTTGCTGTGTAGTGGTAACTCATAGAGGACAGATCTGACACTCCTGTGACCATCCCTCATATGCATATTGATTGCAGAGTTAATATTTTTATGAAGCAATGTTAGTTTGAATAAAGCCAGCACAGATAAAGTTCATCATCATCTTTATGCTTCACAATTTTTTCTTTGGAATAGACACTCTGTGTTGATTTGCTTTATGAACTTGCTAGCTTCCAAGCACACGCATGTTTTATCACAGTAGTGACACTTCAAGTGATCTTCAACTTTGTTTGAAACCCAGTAGTTATCAGGATGATTTGGGTCACGGACATCTTTTATAACATCCTCCTCATCCTAAAAGAAGAATGTCCGCGCAATAGCTGTGGCTTTGCTATTCAACCAACTAAAATCTGCTGGAAATGTGAATTCTTGAACTGAATTCACTCCTTCTAAATATAGAAACATAGCACAGCATATTACATCTAACACTGTATAATACAGCATTTTGTGATGCCTGTAGGCATTTTTTTTTCCTTTAACGTCTCATGAATTAAGGAGGTTTCGGTAATATTACATGGTGCCTTGATCCATAGAAGATTCAGTGTTGTACGTCAGTTTGAAATTGGCACACAATATTTAATACATAAGATAATCAGAGTTCTGTTGAAATAAAAATGACTTTTTTTCTTCTGATGAATGTGTCCGAGTACTTTTCAATCATTATTTAAAGGACTTATCGCATGATTTTTCAAAAATCGTAATTTGATGAAAAATATTATCTACAACCTTGTTTATTAAAATACTGAATCCAATGAACGTTGTTGAAAGCATATTTTAAGAGATATTGGGAGTTGAAATTCAAATACGGCAATATGCATATTTCAGTCGGATTTCGGCGAAATACTGCTCTGACGTCATAGGCGACAGTTCAGTGATAGAGAGATGAGAATTTACACACTATTTACGGAGTTATCAACGACAAATGCTGCTTTACGAAAAATGGTGAAAAAATTAATTCCTAACGTGCCTTTCAACTATAGAAACATTAACTAGTTCTAAGGTATAAGGCTTATTAGATATTTTCGTTTTTTTCCCAAACATTTAGAATCTGTAGCTCTGATTACGGCAATATTTCGTGATCGGGAAATTACATTTGTATTTTTCAGGATCGCCATCCTTTAAAAAACATATGAAGACTTGCATAAATTAATATTACGTTAAAAACGAAGAACAACAAAATTAAATTATGGTAAATTTGTGAATCAAATATGTAAATAAATGTGATGAGATGACAAAACAAATCGTATTCTGATAGCGAGTTTCTTCGTCTTCGCCGCGTATCCCTCGCTATCGTCGGTGCTATTTTTACAATGTTAACAGATTTTTCAGATTTTTTCTTGCTGACAATTCTAACATATAAGATTGGATATTCAATTTCATATCAATAAAATAAGCGATTTGGTCGTCCACAACGCAGAAAATTCAGGTTGTATCGCGTATATTTTTGTAAGATTAACGTGAAGAGATGATCAGCCATTGTCGCCTTTGACGTCACAGGGTCACGTGATCGCTATCTAATTAACTTAGATTTTTAAATCAGGGGTTTTCATTTGAGTCAATAATTGATTAATTACCGTGGTTTATCCGCAATAAAACACAAAATTAATAAACTGTGGTCATAATGAACGTTGTACGCTTTTAATTTCAAATAATTTAGAAACATGCGATAAGTCCTTTAATAATATGCCTAGACTCATAGCAAAAATTAGTTTTATTATTACATATATAAGTGTTGTGTTTTAAGACTAGCGTCATTCATCATTTTAAAGTTATTTTCAATGAAAATTAGCTTTTTATTGATTAAAAAACTACCTACAATAAACTCATCAAACGGTGAAAATCCTCAATCTTTGATATGAATCCCTCAAGTCTTGATGCCTCGGTATTTCTTTTTTTTTTTTTCATCGCTGCATGTGCCCCCTGAATTCTTTCATCGGTGAGTCTGTCTCCTTTAAAAATACGATAATGCAGATTTACATTTTTTTTCTGTTGCCAGTAAACTATGCATATCTTTTTTGTATGTTAAAGAGGCACAGTTGCACTGTTAACAAGTTAAAATTCTATACTTATCCAAAAAATAAAACCAGTTAAATGAATCGAACTTACATGAATATTCTTAGAATTCAATGACAACTATATTCATCTTTATATCACGTCAAACATCTGTTTTTGTGAACAGGGCACGAGCTCTGTTATTGTTAATGATTACGTTTCACCTGGAGTGTTCGATTTGTTAATCTCTGCACACATCATTTAGCACCGACTGACAATACTGGTGAGTTGGTTTTGCTTTCTCACATTTCTACTCTTTTTGATTATAGTTTTAACACATTTTATAAATAAACAACAAAATTTCTACTTTTTTTAGTATTAAGGTAAAGTTAACTTTGTGGAAAGTGCACGGATGTGTCAATCAAACACGTCCCGAAATTCGTAGTTTCAATAATTTCCAGATAAAAGAAGTTTCTGAACACACTTTTATTATATTTCCGTGTGAAATGCTAAAGCCACATATAAGTCATGATATTACACAGAAAATTTGAGTAAATTTTGACTTCAAATCTGTGTCCAGGTCCCTTTTGGAATTTCTAGGCAATCATACTTAAACTTGACATAAAATCTGATGTCATATCAAATTAAAAAAAATCTCACCACCAAAAATTATTAGATCTACTAGGGAACCATCCTCTTTTATGGGAACATACTTCTTTTGAAGCGTCTGTAGAATTTGAATCACATCCGCAGTTTACTTTTCATCACAGTCATATAAACCCAGTAGAAACTAAATATAAAGGAAAATAATGGCTAGAAGGTTATCGTTGCAGCTGACAATTGTTATTGACTTGAATTTTCCTGATTCTTTAAGGAAATTAACAAACTGTTCAGTAGCTGACATATACATAAATTATTCTGTTGAACAGAATAAAATTGAATGAATTCAATACTTGTTGGGTTTTCAGTCCAGCATAATTAATAAATTCATGCAGAAGATGGTCTGGATATAGATTCCAGAGAAGGTGCATGTGTATATGCTCAATAAATATTAAGGCTACAAGGACAACAAGCTCCTTTTCCAAAATCTTTTGTTCCTCTAAGGAAGAGAGAAAAGAAGACAGTGATGATTTCATTTACAGAATGTGTCTTCTCTTCAACAAATCGTACCCTATCCACAACAACCATCACATTAAATAGGTTAAGAGACTGGGTACTCTGTTCACTTTTTCTTTTGAAAATTAAAACATTCAAAGAAATGACTCTACCTTAAAAAATAACAGTTATTCTCCCGGAACACTATGAAAGCTAGTTTGACAGCACAAAATACTGGCTAGACATTTTGCTTTGTTTTACAATGGTATAATAAATGTTCACCTATATGACGGCAATATATCCTTGTCCCAGTTGTCACCAACAAGCTGATACTTTGCTACTTGTGTACGTTGATGATTCATCCAGTCTTCTCTCAACTGCATTATCTTGCAATTAAGAATATGATGTAATGAAGCCAAATTATTCTGCATTGACAATGGGGACACAGTCACTCCTAATCTGCACAGACGTTCAATGTCCTGAAATCATTAATCATGAAATCATTGCAATATTTAAAAATTTCAACATACTGATATCAGGAATGATGCAGAAAATGTAATTAGTAAAAGTATATAGAGAATAATAACCCTTTGTGTACAACCTCCATGTTTCAAAAGAAATACATATAGTGTGTACATACAGTGCTGAAATTTCTTGCATGAAGCATGTAGGAATTGTATGTATTGCTTTTTCCTTACAGTAACTGGCTTTTCAGACACTATTGATGGTAAAGACGAAAAATGACTCTCATAGAATAATGACCGGAGGTCATTTTTCGACGTCTAATAATGACCGGAGGTCATTATTAAACGGCGAAAAATGACCCCTGGTCAATATCTGACGTCGAAAAATGACCATTTTGCCCTTAGAAAAAGTGTCATCACCCTAAAAATGAAGAAAAATGACCTCCGTAAAATAATGACCATTTCGGGATTAAAGAGGATTTTAGTTTAAATTTTTAGGGGGCCAAAAAAAAATTAATTAAGAGGCCTGTTGGTAAATGCTCACCTGAGCTAAATTTGGAATAAATCGATGATATGTTGATCTCATTATATTATACAACAGTTAACATCAACATAGCCAGTATTAATTTTACATTTGAAATCTATTGTTGGTGCAATATAGAAAAACATGCCAGGCATAGCATAAAATTTACATTTAGATAAAGCGGGGGGGGGGGGGGGGGGCATTCCCTCCCCCTTCTCCGATTTTTTGTGCCTGAATATTATGTTCACTTGAGTGGAATTCGGGTGCAGGTGAAATATTTTTTAAGCAGTGTTTTCAATATATTTTTAGTTCAGTGTAGGAAAAATAAATCCTTATATTCACCTGGAAGGTCAATAAAATGGTCTGTCTTTAATGATTAATTGAAAACATTAATCTACTTCAATATACACTGTATTGAAATGTTTCCATATTGATTTGACATATGTATCACCGTTGTAAAGTGGATTTTTAAAAATAAACTATTCGTCTTATATGTATGTATATCCTATTCCCAGACGACCATGTTAACAGACTTTAATGTACATTATACTGGGATTCTTCTTAAATACTTCTATATATTTGAAAAGAAATTCCCATAGACCACTGTTTATAAATTAAACTGAATGCACATTATACGATTGTATATATTTCAGACATGCAGAAATTTTATGTCCTTCTTATGTTTGCCACGTCTGCTTCATATTTGGACAAACTACTAACTATAGACGATAAAGACCAACTACATGTAACAACTAAATTGTCTGACAAACAGGATGACTGAACATCTTTTTCTATCGTCATCTTTCCTTATTTATGTAGTAATATTCCGCTACCATTTGCATATGATGTTTACGTCTACCAACTTATTCAATACCAAAGAGCACGATTAATTTTTAAATCGAAGCAGGCTACTGACAAATACATGTAAGATGGTGTTACAAGGGTTTCAACAACTTCGTTTGAAGTCAGCATTTTGTTAATTCAATGGTCGTATCAATGACCCTGTCAACAAATAAAACATAATTGCGTCAATTGTTTGGCCTTTGTTTTATACTCAATTCAACAACGGAATGTCCCGTTTACCTGATTTATTTATAGGGCTCATGGCGGGTGTGACGGGTCAACAGGGGTTGCTTACTCTTTCTAGGCACCTGATCCCACCTCTGCAATTTTCGGGGGTCCTTTTTATGCCCTGTTAACAGAATTGTATTGTTTGCAGATATTTTAAGACACCAATGATCGTTATATTCACCTTTTTTCATTAGGAAATATATCCACAGTATGGCGTTCGAACAAGATATTATCTCTGTCATTGATTCATATATTTATGAATGTCTAAAATCAGTCAAATATCCAAATATGAAACAAATGGAAGACAGTCATAAGGGGAGATTACGTTAAGAGCTATAACCAATAGTAGCCATTCTGCAATTTTCAATATCTGCTGAGAACACAATAGGCTTAAAAGATAGAAATATGCATGTAAATGTAATGCTGTTTTATTGCATTTTAATTGCGCGTTCGTCTAGTGTTGGTCGTAGAGGGTATAAAGAAGAATAAAACATTGAGGTTCAAACCTTGGCATCGATCAACTGTTATAAATTTTGTATCATTCTGATGCAAAAGGGAGTCAAATTTTTATATAACGCACATATAAAAAATGACCCCTAGGACTCTTTATCTACAAAAAGTTATTTTTTTAACGGTTGGGAGGTCATTTTTTGTCGTTTAAAAAGACACCCCCCATTATACTATGAGGGTCGTTATTTGTATTTACAGATGGCATTCATTTCAGCAGATTTGGTACTTTGCTCTCAAGGTCCTTGTGTTAAGAATCCCAAGAAAAGTAGAGGAATTCTTCAAAAGATTTCTTTTTTAATATAGAACTACCGTGCCTCTGGTAATACCGCTTTGCTTCTGTTGCTAACAATTTTGAGGCTCTATCTACAGGACTTTTAGGATAGGAATTAGCCAGAGGATCAATTATTGATGTTATATTAATTGTTCCTCATCATTCCCTTGGAGACATGAAGAGTGTTGTTGACGACAAGAACTGACTTTTTTCCAGATGGATAGTCAATGGAGATCTGTATTTAACTTACAAATTTACAAACTATTTCAAAATTTTCACATATAATCTCAATAATACTTGTTGATGGTATACCTCGAATAATTTGTGAATAGGTTCTGATGCTAAAATTCTGTTTAAAAAAATTGATCCATAGAGTTAATACTAAAAATGAATACTGTACCTTCCTACACTCATCAAATTGAAGAATAATTCTTTTTTGCACAGTTGAACCATCATAACAGTAAATAAACTCTACAAACTACAAACTCACTACAAACTTTTATTAACAATGTCACCCTGAAATTTTCAACACTTATCATTAACAAAGTTCCAATACTGTATGAATTGATATTATTATTAGGGATGTCAATGTTGACAATAATTCATATTCGAATATTCAATGGGAGTATTCGAATATATTCGAATATTCGATAAAATAAAGAAAACCTGGTTTATTTTAAATGTACATCATTATACTCTCATGGCAGGTTTTGCGTCGGTATTTGAAAGTAAAATTTGATGTATACTTTTGTAGATATACAATAAGGAATTCTACATTTGATATTTGTCATGCTTGAAATAAAAAAAATTGATTTAAGTGTAAACAACCGAAATATAATTTTAACAAATGATATTTACACAAGCTCAAACTGACGAACCAGTCGTCTAACCAGGGGCAAGCTTGTCGTTTACTCTTCAGATTTAAATACACGTAATTAATTACAATTATCTGTTTAAGAAGAGATATAATACATTTTTTGATACAATGTTTTGAAAATATAAGCAAACACTTCCATAGACAATTTTCCTAGGTCATTAATTTTCCGATAATGATCTTAAAATTTAAAAATTAGTATTCAATTTGAGAAAATCAAGTAATTGATGTATTATTCTTAAATTGCGTCCTTTACAATATTACAGACTGATTCTATCAAAAATGTAATTCAATGATCAATCAGATTTATTTTCATAAGTACACTCTTTATGTCTCTTAGACATTCAAGAAAGGTTTCATTTCGTTGTCCTCGATTCTAGATCCGATCATATTGAACTATTGAAAACACCCTTTGTATTATGCATGTACAATAATAATTCTTATACCTTACTCAAAATAAAATAATTTAGAAGATCTATAAGGTAATAAAGTAGCGATAGAAATCAGGGGATCGCTAGTAAATAAAACGTTGATAATTCCAGCACTTAAAATGTATTACCTTGTTTTGTGAAATCTGAAAAACACCGAATATTCGAATCTTAAATTCATATTCGAATATTAACTAATCGAATGAATATTCGAATATTCGTTGACATCCCTAATTATTATATACTATCAATACAGATGTTATATAACATTATCAGAGAGATTTTAAAATATTTTAGGATGAACATCCAAACACAATACTAAAAATACACAGGCATAACAAGGAACAGGAGTCATGCCTCACCTCTACTTCTCCTTGGCCTTGAAAGGTTTTCATACCAGTCTTGTCATCTTGTTCTAAGAATTAAAACAAAAAATCATATAAAATGTCTGTAGTTTTACAATTTAGAATATTGATGAATAGAAGACGTAATACATAATAAACTGAATTGACAATTTATATTCTCTTCGAAGCTTTCAGATCATAGGCTTTGACAAAAACTTGCAAATTACAGATTCCTCTGAAGTATTAATTTTTAATTTGTTCATGCCTTCAGAAACATTGTCTCCAGAGGACAAAGGCTGTTAATTCTGATATTTTGATTTGTTCTCTGTGTGAAAAAAGATTGCAATTTAAATTTTTTGAAAAATCACACACCATGCATGAGGATGTGCATCCACAGCAACAGAACAAAAACTATTGATCTGTAATTAATTAGGTTGTATTCACATGTGTAAACAAGATATTTAAACTTCATGTTTTTTTTGTGACTGATTTTTAACAAAATATAGTCATGATAGTTGGTCAAATAAATTATGTAAAAACATACCTCCAGTTTGATGAGTAAATTACCCCTTCGAAAGATAGAGGCTTCCTTGCTAATGTAAAGTTTGTGCCTTCATAACCTTTAATGTAATCATATGAAATAACGATTTTTAAGTTTAAATAAACACGTAAAGAATACTTTTTGGTTTACAATGTGACATATTTATTTTGAGGATTCAAACTTCAATAAATTGAAAAATTGAAAAAAAAATTCATCGGTTCTTTGGTTTGTATCCTTCCTTATACATTGCTATAGCTATAGAATCTGCAACTGACACCTCTGATTTTCTTTATAAATCATTAAACTAACTAATTCCTTTGAAGCCTCTCCCTCCCCCTGTCTTGATTTATATTTGGAGATGTTAACGCAAATAGGCATTTGACTTGTATATTCATTATAGATTTAAATCCAGAACAAGTGGTTATAGTTACAGTTTACATGTATGCAGAATGTCATATTCTATAAAGGTTGATTTTTCTTATAGTATGAAATTACGATAACTGAAATTTATAAATTATATTAAAGAGAGAGAGAGAGAAGGGTCCCTCTTAATCCCACTCCTGCAATACATGTACATAGACCAAAGAAACGTTCTATAACAGT